TATACGTCGACCCACTCGTCCTCCGCGCACTCCAGGAAGGTGGCGAAGGCGGCTGTGAGGGCTCCCTTAGCCCCCTCCCCCGCGGCGCCCTGGGCCCGCACGTCCTGCTGCAGGTGCTGGGCCTGCCCCGCCGCGGAGGCTGCCTGCCTCTTCTCGACCCAGAGGCTGGGGGGCCTCGCGTGCACTCCTTCAGCCGCTTCAACCTGAAGGGGACTACCCGCGATTCCGTACGGTGCCTGGCTCGGATGTGCACTGCCAGTCCCAGCATGGGGAGGAATGTCCGCCTGCTCCTCCTGCGCAGCTCTGCCCGCGGCACTGCTGCCCTCTCTCTCCGCTGCGTCGGCTCCATGCGCTCCTGGCGCCCGAGCCTCGAGGTGCGCTGGCTGGGCCTCGCCGCGAGGTGCTGCACCGCTGCTGCAGAGCTGAGCGTCCTCCTCCTCGGCGGCAGAGGTCGCCTGCCTCTTCTCGACCCAGAGGCTGGGGGGCCTCACGTGCACTCCTTCAGCCGCATCAACTTGAAAGGGCCAACCTGCGATTCCGCACAGTGCCTGGCTCGGAGGTGCACTGCCAGTCCCAGCATGGGGAGGTATGCCCGCCCGCGCCTCCTGCGCAGCGCTGCCCGCAGCGTCGCTGCCTTCTCTGTCCGCTGCGTCGGCGCCCTGCGCTCCTGGCGCCAGGGCCCCGAGGTGCGCTGGCTGGTCCTCAGCGCCTGGTGCTGCGCCGTGCCCTTCCGCGCCAGCTTCTCGCCTTAGCCCGCAGTTGCCGAGGATGCTCTGCCACTCCTCGCCATGCTGGACGCAGCACCTCATCAGGTTCACCTCCGTCACGCAGGCCGGCGGCGCAGGTGCGATCGGGAGCACGCTGCTTAGCGGTCCCCATCTCTCCGCCGCAACCATCCCCACATCTCCCATGCCCTTCACTGGCCTGGGAAGCTCCTGGCCTGCTGCACTCTGTCCTGCTGCGCCACCACTGCTGCTGGGCTGAGGGGCCTCCTCCTCAGCACGCGGGGTGCTCCTCGCCGCGGCCTCGCCCTCGAACCTCAGCACCGAGGCGAGCTGCTCCTGCACCCTCAGCCTGGCTTGCCTCCAGCTGCTGCCGTGGTCCCTCTCACAGCACCCTTGTGGTCGAACCTCAGGAAAGGTCCGCGGCTTCTGGACCAGCCTGAAGCGCTCCTCCTCCTGCTGCCTGCGGATCTCGAGAATCACCGCCGAGTGCGGGTACACTGGCGAGGCCTCCACCACCCGCGCCCCCAACGCAGCCAGCCCCTTGGATACCAGGAAGAAGTCGATGGTCCTCCCTGATGCTGCGCACGTGGGCGATGCAGGCCTGACCACCTTGCCATCGAACATGTCGGGCACCCCGCCTGCCTGCAGCTCTTCCTCCGTGAGGTTCCAATCGCCGCCCACTACGAAGTCCCTGCGGCACTGCCTCAACCTCCTTGCCAGCCTCCTGAGGCTGGACACGTTGCTGTCGTTGAGGCCGACCCCCGCCTCCAGGTAGATGTTGGCGAGCAGGAAGCCGCTGCGCAGCACGCCCGACACCCAACACAGGTGCACTCGCCCAGCCACCAGCACCGCTGCCTGCTGGTCCTGCACCTCCGCCATGCCGTGGCTCCTCCTCACCATGGTGAGGAGGCCTCCTGTGCTGAGGCCTCCTGCCGCTGACGGCACCGCGGGCGTGCCTCTCGCCCTCCATCCTTGACTTCGAAGCTGCGCCTCCGCGTCACTGCTCCTGCCCTCCAGGAGCCTCGTCTCCTGGACCAGAATGGCGTCGCAGTCCTGCACCTCGCTCACCGCCATGCACTTGCCCAGGTTGCAGAACGCATTGACGTTGACCGTGCAGATCCTCCAGACCCCGCACTTCATGCTAGGACTCCTCCTCCATCTGCTTGACCTCCGTCCGCATCTTCTTGGCGTCACCCAGCAGCTGCTCAGCTGCTTCCCTCTTGGCGGGGTCCTCCATCCCGCACGCGATGTCCTGCCACACCTGCTGCGCCGCCTGCGACACGCCAGGCCCCTCCTCCTTGGGAGCGTCCACCTGCTGCGCAGCTGCAGGCGCCGCCGAGGGCACGGGGACCGCCGCAGCCACAGGCGCACGGGGAGGCGCCCCCGCAGCGGCGGCAGCGCCAGGCAGGCCACTGAGCTCCGCCAGCACCTTCCCGAGCTTCGCGATCTCGTCCCTCGACAGGCGGCCGATCGCCTCCTGAATCGACTCCAGGGAGGCCGCTTGTGCTGCTCTCGGCTCGGCGGCAGCTGCCGCCGCCTCAGCCTCCTCGGCCGCCATCCTGGCGCGCTGAGCCGCCAGCGCCTCTCGTGCCTTGGCCGCCGCCTCGTCGCACTCCTTCCGCAGCAGCACCAACTTGTCCGCGAGGCAGGCCGACTCGTTGATGGCTGCCACCGCCTTGGCCTTCGCCTGCTCCAGCTGGCCCTCCATCTTCTTGACCTGCACGACCTTGGCGTCCGCCAGCACCTGGGCCGCCTTGACCGTCTTGTCCTTGGACAGCTCGGCCCCCAGCCGCCCTCACGCAGCCTCCGCGCCTGCAGCAGCTGCTCGCGGACCTTCGGGGGCAGGAGCGCGGCGGCGAGGGCGAAGTCGGCCTCTGCCATGCACACGAAGCCACAGCGCTGCTCCTCGCTGAGCACCACGGCGCCTCCAGCGTCACGGCCGCCACCTTCTCCACCACGCCACCACGGGGCACGAGTGGGAGGCTTGCCGCCGCCAGCCCCACGCCCGCCGAGCCCGCCGCCAGCGCCGCCAGGAGCACCACCACCGCCACCGCCTGCATGCCACCCACGCAGCGGAGGAAAGGCGCCCAGCTGCCGCGGCGCTGGCCACCCCGCAGGTTGGCACCCCTTGCGACAGCACGTCCTCTCGGCGAAGTTGTAGTAGTCGCACACCGAGCACTTCCACTTCGCAGGCCACGCCGCACGGCCGCCTCCCCCACGCCCAGCACCCACGCCGCCGCTCCCCGCCATGGCGCGCGTGAGTTTGGAAGGAGGCCGCCCGACTGCCAGAGTGCACACACTCTTGCCTGCGCACGGTAGTGCGACCCAGTGAAGCACGGAGGCTGAAAGCCCCCCGAGCAACCCATCTTGAGCCAAAATGGCTACGGAGGAGGAGGAGGAGGAGGAGGAGGAGGAGGAGGAGGAGGAGGAGGAGGAGGTGGGGTTCACTTCGCTCGGGAGCTCTCGAGCAAAGTGAACCCCACCCTCCCCCTCAAAATCGTGGGGGGTAGGGGTAGGGTTCGCGTGTGGCCCCCTAGACCGAGCCGAGCATCCCGTCGCCACGCCGCGAGAGCGGTGGCCCGCCGCGGCACGCAGCTGAGCTGAGGCAGCCCCAGTGCCGGCGGGCGGCCGCAGCGCGCTCTGCAGCTCGCCGCGAGTGAGGCCAGCGGCCGCGTGCGTCGGCTCCTCCCGTGCGCAGCCGCTCGGCGCTGGCGTCGAGCTCGCCCAGCCCGGCGCCGCCCGCGCAGCTCCGGGGCACCTCGCGGAACCCCGGGCTGCCGGGGACCCAGCGCATCTCGCGCGACACTGCGGCCGCCCCGGAGCCGGGCGACGCGCGGTCCGAGCCCCGAGCGTTATGTCGGGCGTGTCCCCCTACAGGGGGATTTTCGACGACAAATAAAAAGTACCCACAAAATACCCCAAAAAGGTCCAAAAGTACCCAAAAAATAGTCCCCTATATTTGGGGTATGTTTATTTTTTGTCGAAAGCCCCCCTGTATAGGGGGACAGGCCCGACTTGACCCGAGCGTGGTCGGACGAGGCCCGGTCCAACGGCCGAGGCGCCTCCTGGGCGACAGCACGAGGCTGGTGACGCTGCCGTTCGGCCTCTGCCGCACCCTCGGCTGGTATACGCCCGCGGTGGTCTTGGCATGGCATCCTAAGCTACAGAGAGCGGAGCGCAGCGCCGACGGCCGAGGCGCAGCGCCGCCGCCGGCGGCGAAGCGCGAGCCGCCGCGGCGGGAGGCACCGAGCGAGCCTCCGCGGCAGGGCCTCCGCGGCGCGAGCGCCGCCGAGCTCGTCGGGCGGCGGGCCCTCGAGCGCCGGCGCGCGCCGGGGCCGGCGGAGGTCGCGCCGGCCTCGGCGCGGCGCGGCCCCTATCCCCTCCCCTCGGCCTCGTCCGCCTCGCTCCCCTCCCCTCCCCTCGGCCTCGTCCTCCTGGCACCCCTCCCGTCCCTCGTCCTCGTCCTCCTCGCTCCGCGCCCTCCCTGCCTCCCTGCCTCCCTCCTCGTCCTCGTCCTCCTCCCTCCCTGTTCTCGTCGGCCTCGTGTTCCTCCTCCCTTCCCGTCGCGAGATCACTCTGGAGGTCGGGAACGGGGTGTGGCATAAAGGGGCACGGCGCCCCTCGTGGAGGTGGCGACGCTGTCTGCGAGAAGTTGCATCGCTAGCTTCCCCGCTGCATAAAAATCAGCACCCCGCCCCTTCACACCACTCCCCTGCCCTACCTCCAGGATCACCTGGCTTGGCGCCTCCGCGGAGAGAGCCGGGACGGGCCGGCGGCGTCGCTTGCGTGGAAGCCGCCCGCGCTGACGGCCGGGCGGCCCGGCTCGTCGCGTGGAGCCCGCGAGCCATGCTGCTGCCGGCGAGCACGCCTATAGGCTCCCGGTGTGCGCCCGAAGGCGTGTTGGCCTCGGGCGTGCGCGACGGCCCGGGCCCGGCGGAGGCCCGGCTGCCCCGGCTGCTGCGCAGGAGGGCCCTGCCCTGCTTCCCCTGCCGCCCTGCTGGCCACAGAGGGCGCGAGAGCACTCGAGCCGCCCCTGTGGACCGACGCTCCGGTCGCACCGCGCCTCTTCCCTCTTCCCTCTCCCCTGCTCGTCTCCTCGCCTCCTCCTTTTCTCCTGAGCTCATCGCTCATCTCCTCGTCTCCTCCTCATCTTCTCATATCCTCACCTCCTCAGCTTCTCCTCATCATCCGCACCTCCCCTTCCTCCCTCCTCATCTCCTCATATCCTCATCTCCTCATCTCCTTTCGACGACGACGACGACGATGACGACGATCCTCGGACAGGCACGGGGCATGACGGCCGCACGCGCTCGCGACCATCCACCTCGCCACCTCCCCGTCGGCCGCGGCGTCGACGTCGTCCCGCAGGGTGAAGGTCAGGTCGAAGCAGGCCGCGACGTTCAGGGGCATCACGTCCTCGGGGGATAACACACGCATAAGGCATCTATACACCACCAGCGTGCCAGGCCAGGGCCATCCTGGCCCTGGCCTGGTACGCCCTCCTGGCCGAAGCCAGGAGGGTCTATACACCATCCTGGGGCCCAGGATGGCCCTGGCCTGGCACGGTGTTGGTGTATAGATGCCTTCGTCGGATAACAGAAGAAGAAGAAGAAGCCCTGGCCCCAGCGCAGATCCAAGAAACCCGCGCGGAACGCCAGAAGTTTATGCTTATGGCGTTTCTTCTTCTTCGGGGTAGAGCAAAGCCAGCGGTCGGAAGAAATGGGTAGGAACACGAAGTAGGAAAGCGTTGAAAATAGATTGGGTTCCGTCCGCCCCCTCAGGAGGACGGAAAGGTGAAGCCACTCGATCATTGAAGTAGGAAGGTGGATTTTGCAATCTGGGAATCCAGAAATACCTACTTTCAACGACCGATGGGTATGGGGTTTTTCTTTTTCGAGATAGAGCACAACACCGGTGGCCACCCGGCCTCCCCTCCGCCTCTGCCGCCCCGGCCCCCCTAAGAGGAGGAAGGAGAAGCGTCGGGCAGCGGCGTGGATGAGCATGAGGGGGGGGGGGGATACACGGGGAGGGGAGAAGCGTGCACCGTCCGTGCCCCTCTGGGGTCCCAGGGGGCTCCATTTCGGGCCCCCTTGGGGCACACGAGGTGCACCTTTCGTCACCCCCCGTCATTTACCGCACCTCCTGCTCCTGCTCCTGCTCCTGCTCCTCCTCCTCCTCCTCCTCCTCCTCCTCTCCTCCTCCTCCTCCTCCTCCTCTGCTCCTCCTCCTCCTCCTCCTCCTCCTCCTCCTCCTCCTCCTCCTCCTCCTCCTCCTCCTCCTCCTCCTCCCCCTCCAGATCATGCAGTTTTGCAGGCCGCAATACCATGAATCAGGGGGTCTCTTAGCAAGCGAGGAGCAGCCGAGCGCCCGCCGACCGCGCCGTGCCCCTCTTGCTTCACCGTGCCTGCGGGACACGCGGCGCATTCCTTCCCCACTGCTCGGCGCTCGAAAGCGACAGCAACGGAAACCTTCGGCGGTCCGCGCGGATCGCGCGGATCGGCGCCCGACCTCCTTCCCTGGCGAGCGGAGCGCGCGGGGGGCGGCGCTGGAGGCGCCGCCAGGGCAGGCCCGGCGCCGATCCGAGAAGTCCGCGCAGAGCTCCGAAAGTGTGTGTTCATGCCGTTCCTCCTCCTTCGACTCCTGGATGGGGCCCCTCGTCGCCTCTGCTGGGTTCGCCTCGGGGCTCTGGGCAGAACGCGCCTGGGAGAGATCCGGGGAGCAGCGGCATCGGCGGTATCCTTCGGGGTGGGCGGTAGGGGGGATAGCATTAGGTCGGGCCTGTCGCCCTGCAGGCGGGCATTGGAGAAAAACATGAAAATATGGAAAAATGTGCAAAAGTAGTCAAACATAGTCAAAAAATCGTCCCCATACTATTCTTTTACTATTCTTGAATATTCCTCCTGTAGAGGGACAGGCCCGACTGAAGGATAGCCGGGGGGGGAGGTAGCGAATCAGCGCCGCACAGCCGGTTCTCCCAGCACCGGGAGACGCCGGGAGCGACCGTGTGTCCAGGGAAGTGTCTGGTTGCAGGGCCGAAAAAAGCAGCTGCATGCAGCCATCCTCGCCCCCCTACACTGAAGGGGCTCAGGGACACAAGTAAATACACACAAATCCCAGGATTCCCAATCTTTTCTTATATTTTCTGGGTTTTCGTCTTCCCTCCCACTTCCTATACCTTCCAACATTTTCCTGGGGATCGGCGATTAATTGTGCCTGTGTTTTTCCCCTCCTGGTACACCCTTTCCGTGATCAGCGAACAACCCACATTCAAACCTATAGGGAGGAAAACAAGGGGGAAGGGAAAGGCGATGAAGCAGCTAAACGTATGGGTGCGAGTCGCCGGACCCCGAGAAGGGTTCCCGTGCGAGCTTGGACCCCGTCCGACAACACGCACCCCTAGCCCTCCCCGGACTTTCACCGCAGGAGTGCTGAGGGTCGTGTAGGTAGGGGAGTCAGTTGTCAGCTCGTGATATTCCCGCCCTCCCCCCCTTCGTCCGCCCCGATCCTCCACCCTCAAGGCCGACTCTCCGAGGCCGCCGTGAGAGCAAGCCAGCAGCACCGATGCGGCCGCATTGAGCCGCGTGTGGACGCCGGCCTTCGACAGGGAGACCACCTGCTGATCCATCGCCTCTCGGATGGAGCCCTGGTCGCGCTCGGGCAGCTGCTCGAAATCATCGATGCAGCACACGCCGCCTCCCGCCATGATCAGCGCTCCTGGCCGAATGCTCCTGCCGTCGAGTTCGCTCTCGTCTGGCACGAGTGCTGCAGTCAGCCCAGCCGCAGACGAGGAGGAGCCCGACACGTACACGCCGCGCGGTGAGAACGCGGCGGCCCACCTGAGCAAGACGCTCTTGGCAGTCGCAGTCTCGCCGATGAGGCAAATATGAAGTGTGCTCCTGTAGGAGTAGTCGGCCTGCTGCTCCCTCGGGACGCCGCCGATGAGCATCAAGAGGATCGCCTTCTCTTCAGGGGTGCGAGGAATGACATATAGACCTCAGAACTCGGAGGTCCGCACGGACTTCTCGGGTCGGCGCCGGACCCCCCTCCCTGGCGCGCGGAGCGCGCCAAGGGCGGCGCCGGAGGCGCCGCCAGGGGCGTTCGGCGCGGATCCGAGAAGTCCGCGCGGACCTCCGAGCTTTTGTGCTTACGGCATGGGCAGCGGATAAGGAGCCCGTGAAAAAAGAATCCAGGGTCTGGAAGCCGGTGGAACTCCAATCGTGGATCGGCCATGGACATCACCGCCGCCCTCACTGGATAGGGAATCCTCCGGGGTCCCGCGCCTCCTGGCACTAGGTATTCCTTCACAAACGCCCCCACCGCAATTATTGATGTCCTTCTTCGCCCCCCTGCTCTTGATGTCGAAGTGCCCGTGCACTGACGGCGCGACGTCCTCTCGGGGATGGACAGACCTCGCTTTAGTAACACGTGGTTTAGTGAAAACGCCCTGAGGCCCAAACCTGGCGGGCGCAAGCCTGGAAGATAACGGCCACGGCGCCCTCTCGAGAACCGAAAACGGACAATTCACTAATCGACGTGTCACTGTTGGGGGTTCTGTCCACCCCCGAAATGTTCGGCCTGCAGCAGTTTCAAGGAGGCCCCGTGCGAAGGGGGAGGAGGAGGAGGAGGAGGAGGAGGAGGAGGAGGAGGAGGAGGAGGAGGAGGAGGAGGAGGAGGAAGGAGGAGGAGGAGGAGGAGGAGGAGGAGGAGGAGGAGAGGAGGGAGGAGGAGAGGAGGAGGAGGAGAGGAGGAGGAGGAGGAGGAGGAGGAGGAGGACCCCCGTGCGTCGCTCTCACTGTTGGGGGTTCTGTCCGCCTCCGATCCTCTGCGACCGCGTCCAGGCTGGCGCGGCCTCCGGCGACGTCTCGGCCCACGCCGGGCCCCCCGGCGCTGCCGCGCAGGGGCCTCTCGGCAGGAGGGAGGCGGGCCGCCCCTCGATCTCCCTACCACCTCCTCCTCCTCCTCCCACTCCTCCTCCTCCTCCTCCTCCTCCTCCTCCTCCTCCTCCCACTCCTCCACCTCCCACTCCTCTCCTCCTCCTCCTCCCACTCCTCCTCCCTCCTCCTCCTCCTCCTCCTCCTCCTCCTCCTCCTCCTCCTCCTCCTCCTCCTCCTCCTCCTCCTCCTCCTCCTCCTCGTCCCTCGACGAACGCATGAAAAACGCCCCCGCCACCCCACACGAGGAACTTTCGACCTGGCATCGGCGATACATAGCCGCTAGCTCGGCGGTCCCACTACACAGATGGAGGGCGGAGGGGCATACAAGTGGTAGGCTCCTCCGAGGCGGACACGTGGTGGGTAGCGCCTCCCGCGGGTACAGCGCACGCCACCCTGTACGGGGTCCGAGTGGCGGGCCTGTACGGAGTCCGGGGTCCGAGGAACTTTCGACGACTGGGACCTTCAAACGACGCGCGAACTGCAGGCGGAAACAGCTCGACGGTCCGCCAACGACACCGTCGCGCAACTCAGTGCGAGCGGCGCGCTGCTGCTATGCTCATTGGCGTTTGAGCTTGGCGCTACCTTGTGTTGGCGCACGGTCAACGCCCAAAATCATTGTGGATGTTCGCGCGCTCGTGTCGAGTCGAGCAGGAGCTCGACTGCATAATTGAGAGCACCCAAAAACCCGATCTCTTCGTCGGGAGGTTCGTGGATCCACGGAGGCTGTAGGTTTTTGTCTCGCTGATTTGGCGAACACTTCAACCTTGGGGTGCCGCAATTCTGTAGCCCATCTCCTACTCTCGAGTCTTAGGTTGCTCCCATCGTACTTCAGGACCGCATCCCAGAAATAAGTTGGAGCACCCGGGAGAATGTCGAAATAGTGTCGGACGAGTGTCTCCACGGGCCCGACACGTGAAAACCCTCGAGTTTCGGTGCTTGTTTGGTGCTCGAGATCCTTTCTGGTGGTTCAAGCTGAGGTAGGTTGGAACGTCTCGAGTCCCGGGTCCTGTGGGCCCCGGGGCTCTCTCTGGGCCTGACTTCCCCTCCCGACTCGTCTTCTGACGGCCCTGGTGCCCTGGGCGGGGCCGCCAGGGATCCCGAGAGCCACGGGATACCTCCATGGAGGGCAGAACATCCACCCCGATAAGAACCACCCCGACGCGCGAGGCCTTCAGTGAACGCGCCCGAAGGAAACGAACGGGGCAGGGCTGCTCCGTAAACGCCCAGGGCCGTTCAGTAAACGCCAATTGTCCGGTCCGGGGGGGTTCCCCCTCCCTTGACTTCAGGACCCCTGTCCTCCGGGGCAACCGTTCCTCCTCTCCTTCGTGGCAGCTGCGACCCGCGTCGTCCCCTCAAACATCAGCCCCCGGACCTTTTCCGGGGGGCCAGGACCCCACCAGGGTTTTGAAGGCGTGAAATGTTGGGTGAGTTCGTTCTTCTGGCCCCCTTCTTCCCCTTCGGCGAGGGGTTTAACCCTCCCCCTCCCCCCTCCATCTGGGTCTGGAGGGTCGGGCTCGCGACGCGTTGGAGCGTCCAATATGGCCCAAGATGGCTCCAAGATGTGTTCAAGTAGCCCAAGATGGCCTCCAAGATGGTAGACTATAGCCCATGATGGCTCACTGTAGCGTCTCATATGCTCCCAACAGGCCCCGAGACCACCCAACGGCAGTTCCAAATGGCCACGGCGACTCCCAAGGACCCCCCCGAGAGGCCCAAATCCTTTCCAAACCGTAGGAACTCCATACTTGCAGATTCTCGCTGTTTCGCTTCCGATGGGCCTTTGAGGCCTCAGTATAGCCTTAGGTCGGGCATGTCCCCGTACAGGGGGATTTTGGGCGAAAAATTAGAAATACCCCAAACATGCCAAAACATAGTTAAAACATTGTCAAAACATCGTCCGTATACTATTTTTGACTATTCCTGAATTTTCCTCATGAAGAGGGGCAGGCCCGAATCAAAGATGGCTGCAGCATTGCCGAAGAGAGCCCCGAGAGGGGACCTGGAGAGGCCCAGGACGGACCCAAGAGCGCCCCCAGAGGACCCCAAGAGGGCCCCAGGAGGTGTGCTGCTCCCATCGTACTCAAGGAGCAAATCCCAGAAATAAGTTCGAGCACCCAGACAAGTATCGAAAGTGTCGAACGAGTATCGCTTCCCAGGGCCCGAAAGTTTCGATACTTTCTTGGTGCTCGAAGGTCTTTCTGGTGATCAAGGCTAAAGTAGGATGGAACATCACAACCCAAGAGGCGATTCTGAGGGTCTCGACACGGGGGGCACACGTTAAGAACCTCCTTTGTTAGATCGATGGCCTCCAACATGGCCCAAGAGAGCTCTTAAGGCCTTCAGAATGGCTCCAAGAGGGCTCCACGGTGGCCCCAAGATGCCTCCAAGAGGCTCCAAGAGCGCCACTGCACGGCGCTGCGCATCCCTGACCAGGGCAACTCGCTTGAAGCGTCAATCATGCCGACACGAATCCAGTCGTGGCGACCAGGGGCGCACCGGAAAAGGGCGACACGAAAACGCTCAACGATCTCGATCCTCGACCCTGGCGAGCCTGGGGGAGGGAGGGAAGGAGGAGGGAGGAGAGAGGGAGGAGGGAGGAGGGAGGAGGGGGAGGGAGGGAGGGAGGAGGGAGGGAGGGAGGGAGGAGAGGGAGGGAGGAGGAGAGGAGGGAGGGAGGAGGGAGGAGGAGGAGGAGGAGGGCGAGCCTGAGCCTGGCGAGCCTGGCGAGCCCGGGCGTGGAGCCGATGCTCCGCTTCCTCGACGCGCCCAGCCCTCGCTGCGGCAGGGCGCCGCCCTGCGGCGCTGCGGCGTCGCCGCGCCCCTCCGCCGCGGCGGCGTGCCCTTCGAGCGCCTCTGGGCGTGCGGCAGCTGCTGCGTCTGGCAGGTCCAGTCCTCCTCCTCCTCCTCCCTCCTCCTCCTCCGCCCTCCTCCTCCTCCTCCTCCTCCTCCTCTCCTCCTCCTCCTCCTCCTCCCCCTCCTCCCTCCCTCCCTCCCTCCCTCCCTCCCTCCCTCCCTCCCTCCCTCCTCTCCCTCCTCTCCCTCCTCTCCCTCCCTCCCTCCCTCCCTCCCTCCCTCCTTCCCCCAAGCTCGCCAGGGTCGAGGATCGAGATCGTTGAGCGTTTTCGTGTCGCCCTTTTCCGGTGCGCCCCTGGTCGCCACGACTGCAGTCGGGCCGCTGAAAGGAGGGACGCTACATGAGGAACGGAGCCCCCCTGGAGGCCCCCGAACCGCCGTCGTTCTCGAGGAGGGCTGGAGGAGCGGCCACTGGAGGGCCCGAAAGGAGCATCGAGCCCCCTCCGAACCCAAACTGTTCCTTCTCTCGGCGTCTTGACTGTACCTCTCCCCCCTTCCCTCCCCACGACCAGACGCAAAGGTTGGTTGCTGCGTCTGGCCGAGGGGGGGAACTGGAAGGAGAGGGAGAGGTGGAGAGGGTGGACGGGGAGGGGGGAGACGGAGAGGGGGGGCGGTGGGGAGGGGGGAAAGGGAGGGGGGGAGGGGGGGAGATCCTGGAGCATGCGCGCGGGCATCGTCCACGCTCACCGCCAGAAACACGGTCTTGAAAGGCGCTTCAGGGTCCGACCGCGGCCGACGCTGACCCGAAGCAGGATCTTCAGAGACCTCCTCCCCGTGAGGCGCCGCAACAAAGCAGCCGTTGATGACAACATCCGCGGCCAGCTTGCACGCCTCGCACGAGCGGCAGGCGTCCCTGCCCTGAAAGATCACGTCGATGGCCAAAGGCGCCCCCTGTACTGGTTGCGCGCCGGCGGGCACCAGGCGCGCCCGCTGCTGGTCGCCCCAGCGGGTGAACTGGCTGCGCTCCAGGAGCGTCCAGCGCCCGGTGCTGCCGCAAAACGGGCACTCGCCGGGGCTCCGCGGCCCGCAGAAGCCGCCCCTCGAGTGCCGCACCTCCCGCTTGCACCTGGAGGAGCAAACGATACCGATGCCGATGCGCACCCACGGGCTGTGTTCTGACCAAGATTCCAAGGCTTTTTTCAACCATGGGGGCGAGGGAAGCCCGCTATGAGGCCCCAAAAAGGGCGAGCACCAGATCGGCTGTTGGAGATCGGGATGCTCTCAAACGCGCGTGCGGGGTGGATCGCGCGGGGAGGGCCGAGGTCACTTACAGTCAACCCGGTATCAGAAGATTGCAAGGGCCTTGGAAGGCCATGCCGACACTTTGCGGGCGGGGCGCGGCCAGCGAAAGCGGCCAAGGACTGGCCGAGGAGGAGGAGGAGGAGGAGGAGGAGGAGGAAGGAGGAGGAGGGAGGAGGAAGGAGGAGGAGGAGGGAGGAGGGGGAGGAGGAGGAGGAGGAGGAGGAGGAGGGGGAGGAGGAGGAGGAGGAGGAGGAGGAGGAGGAGGAGGAGGAGGAGTTTTTTCCCCCCCGAGGGGTAGAACAAACGTTTGTTTAACGGAAGAGGAAGGAGGCAGCCTCTTCCTCAGCATCAAGGGCGGGTCCTGGGGGCGGCGCCTCCTGGGCCTGACCACGAGGCCCCAAGGAGGGGGCCACTTGGGCCGCGGGTCCAGAAGGAGGGCCCCGCGGCCCACCAGGAGGCCCCAACAAAACCGAGCTCTGAAAACCTCCTCCATCCTCGCCCAGCTCCCTGGCCGCGACGCGGCGCCGCATGGCCTCCAGCGCTGGGATGAGCTCGCTCTGCTGAGCGGGGAGGAGCACTGCACGTCGCCGAGGTTGCTGCGTCTGCAGCAGCCGCAGGCGGTCCATATCTGAAGAGGACCACCCCTGGCGCACGATCAGACTGGGGGTGGAGTCCTCTCAACATTCTGCCAAGACGACAACGCGTGGCAGAGGAGAACAGACGGCCTGGGCATTCGTTCTCGAGTCGTCGACTGAGGCGCTCAGTACTGTAAGCCCCACACCGACGACAGAAGACCAGGGAGGGGCCGTTCGAAAGACGAGTGAACACCAGAGAATGGCCCATCCTCTCACGGTCCCTCAAAAACTGAAAATTTGTACGCTTCCCAGGGCAGCCCCTCATCTCCAGCCTGGCCGCACACGTGTTGACTGCTCTGGCTTGGCAATCGTGACAAATGAAGCTACCCTGGGTGGCTGGGACCGCCGCCCAGGCGTGCCAGCGGTGGGCTCCTATCTCTCGGGGTCGGGGAACCTTGGGCCGATCAGGGAACTGAGCGACAGGGAAGAGGGGCAAGACCGCTCCCACGACTCTCGCCGCAGCTCGAGCCCTGCCTATCATCCGATCAAGCTCATCGAGGTCCCCCTGACTATCCCGAGCATGGAGTAGCACAGCATTCTTAGCATACAGGTCCGCCGCTCGATTCGCGAGACCGATTCGTCTCTCCGTCGACGGCAGAGCTTCGATGTCCTCAAGGCTCCGATGAGCGGGCGTGTGAAAAGCTTGCCCGATGAAGGGTGCCCCCTCCAGCTCAAAGAAACCGCGCCTGAGGCCAGCATACTTCGAGCGACTCGATAAAACCTGAGATTGGCTCTGATTGTGCATCCGAACAACGCCGAGGCAATCAGAGTGAACCTGGACTGGCTGGCGCATGACGAAAGCTGGCGCAATGATCGCCATCTGCTCTGCAGCCTGAGGGGTCTGAGGCAGGGAAGGCCATACAGGCCCTTGAAGCCTAGCCACTATTTCCTCGGACCCCGACCGCATGTACACACCAGCATAGGCCGCCCTCGAGAGCTCACGGATGGGACTTCGCGCGCACGACCCATCAACGACGACGTCGACGACATCTCCCAACGCCGAGAGGTCCTCAAGGGGGCGGCCGCCCTGCCCAAACACGGCAGGATACAGCTGGTCGGTCGGGGGCTGGAGGTAGCACGACGGATGCTTAAAGACCAGACGGTTCCACAAAAGATCTTCGCGCCCCGCCTGGACAGCCTCAGCGATTATCTCCGCACTACACGCATTCTGCCTGGCCTCGATCACCTCAGGGGCTTGACAGCACCACAACCTATGATGGAGGCCATCAGGCCCGCCACACAACGGACACTTCCCATCAGACTCATATCCATGGGACTGCAAGCGATCACTAGTGAACACAGCCTTAGTGAAACAACTAGCTATGGCGTACTTCTGTCGTGCATTGTACCTCTTCGACCTACACCCGCACGAGCGTACCAAGTCAACACACACGCGCACACCATCTCCTTGCATGCCTAAGCTACGTGCCATGTCACGCTCATGCTGTCTCTGGACGGCCTTACGTAGGAGATGCTTGATGAGGGAAGGGGAGGTATACAGCAGAGAGAGCTCAACTCCTCGATCATCGATCCACTCCGTGAAGTTCTTAGGCTCCCAGTTGACCCCCTGGAGGCACATCAACATTCGAACGATCGGGCCCTTCGTCTTTCTCCAAGGCATCTCAGGATCCCAATTGGCATGCACCTGCTGAAACATATCTGCGAGCTGCGTCATAGTGAAGAGAGAGCGCTTCTGCGCGACCGCCGCCTGCCAGATCGTGGCTGCCCACTGCACCGCAGGAGCCGCAGCGGCATCTGCAACAGGGTCGCCATGAAGCACGCACTTCGCCACTAGCGAGGCTCCTCGATGCGAGGGCGCCTTGAAGCTGAGGAGCGTAGCCCGAGCTCGTCTGAGCTCGGGATCACTCATGCCCAGCACCGCACTGCCATAAGACAAGACTGGCTTCAAGCCTGCCGTGTGAGTCTTAGACCTCCGATGCTTTCCATGTGCCAACCATCTTCGAAATCGTAATACTCGCTGATGTCGAAGCTTGAATTGTTGAAATCGAGTCCGTCGTTTTCGAAGCCCCCCTTTAGCCGACCGAGACTGTCCTGGAGCGAAGTCTACCCCGAGGTTGAGCGACGCCGACGTGACCATCCCCTCGGGCAATCCTCGGATGCGAAGTTGATGGGCCAGGGATTTCGCTAGACCGACCGAGTTAGCTATCGTAACCGCCTTCGACTCCGAGATATCTGCTTTTAGCTCCTGCTGAAACATTTGATGAAAATCGGCTGCTGCTGCAGGCACTGCTCGAAGTAGGCTAGCTTTGTCCCCCATCCCCAGTATCGTGTCATCGTCGATGTACGAGGATAGGCGAATCGTCGGGTGTCTCATCATGCAAGCATCGAAGGCCTCAAGCGCATACACCTTCACAAATGCATCGTTGAAAACATCACCTGCAGGAAGACCGCTGGAGGCAAAAAGGGCCACTGTGTGAAAAGCTGGGCCTAGACGAACCAGTCTGGGGCACCTCCACAGGTTGTACATAGTCTTTACAATAACCTTAGGGATGCCACATCTGTACGCTCTATCACGTAGAAGTTCTAGCTGGAAAGATTCGTAGTACTTCTTCCCGTCCCACTGAACTCCCAAGACAACCTGATCCCTGGTATCCGCCACCTCCGACAAGGCCGCTTGGGCCCAAACGCAACCTTCAGCACTCTTCCCCGCTCCGAAAGCCCAGTAGTCCCTCTCCGTTTCGGCAAAGAAAGGGTCCAACATGGGGCGGCGTAGTCTTTCCCAGACACGAACAAAACTAGCGAGGAGTAGGATGGCACGATGCCCTCCTGCAGGCTTATCTATCAGCGGAAAAACCATCCACATAAAATGTCGCGGGCAGAGCCCGAGCCTTTCCACCGCTTCGTACAGAATACCCAGGGTGAATATGCCAGCATCTCCCAGCAGACAGATGTGCTTCGGATGGGACCCATCCAAAGTCGACGCCGTGAACTGGCACAACTTTCTGGAAGCACTTCGAATCTCATCAACCGACGCCCTCGGGAAGCACTCACGATCAGGAACTTCCGCCACAGGTGGGGAGATCGATGCATGCCACTGCGCCTGCAAAGCCTCTGCCTCGCTGGCATGGAGGTCATCAGGCCGACTCGAAAAAACGCCTGGTGATCGTTCAACTATGCTGGGGTTCCAGATGTGCTGAAGCCGAGTGATTTTGTGCATTAGCTTCGCTGATCCTTTCAAGGCTTCATCGCACCACTGGTTCCACGTCTGCGTGCGCAGCTTGGCAGCTGCACTGGTGGCATGCTCAAACTCTGTGATCATAAAGGCTAAGTCCAGCACCTGCGCCAGCTCCATCTCCGCATCCTGCAGGAAGACGGCCCAGGCGTGATTGAGCTTCTGCCATGCCGCGCACACCCCATCATGCTCAGCAGCATGTACAGCATGTTCAGCCATCTCTCGGGCCGCCCTGTACGACCGTGGCTCGCGACGGGGACCGAAAGGTGGCAGAACGGGGAGCCGAACGTGCGAACAATAAACCAATTGCTTCAGCTCCAATACGCCAGGCCGAAGGTGCAGTCGCACAGGTTTGTGCGGCCCTCCATGCCACGACTGCAAGACTCGAACTTTATCAACCAAGCGTACCATATCATGAGAGCCAAGGAAGTAGTCGATCGTCGAGGCCGAATTCGACATGATGCAGGTGTGCCGCGTAGGAACCACCGCGATCAGGCCAGCCTTGCGAGTGAATCCCGACTCCTCCAGCACCTGATGCTCGACATTCCAATCAGCCCCCGCTAAGATGGCGCCAGACGACTTAGACACGCTCGAGCCCAACATCTTCAGTATATGCATGTTGGCCGAGTTCAGGCCTGCTGCACAAAAGAGGTGCGCAGAGTACACCGTGAGCTCAGGCCATCCAGGGATGTCAACCTGAACCGAGATCAACCTGCCACGGCAAATCTCACCTCCAGTAGGGTTCCACCTTAGTCCCAGCTCCGATCGAGCAAAGACGGCCACCCCAGCAGAGTGCGAACCTCGATCACACTCGAAGGAAGGGCTGCACAGCATCCGATATCCAATAGCACGAGCTGCACGCTGAAGGTCAGGAATCGCAGCCTCCGCTGTGCCAATCTCCTGCGCACATACAATCAACGAGTTGGAAGCACGCAACCGTTCAAGAAGTGTGGCACGGCAATTACCATTGAACGACTCGAAAAAATGAACACTATCATCTGCGGCTGCGTCGCGAAAGCCTTTGTGCAGCGGTATCACATGCCCATCTCCATTGACAGGCAGGTCACACAAGAAAGGCATATATGTAGATAATCCGCCCAGGCTCCTGAGACGCTCCCCCGTTTTAAGTCCTTGGACACCCAGCACATGTGGGCACGAGGGGTCTGCAGTTGCCTGGGCTCTAGTCGAACCTGCAATCGTAGAACTTGATGAAGCAGCTCCTCCAGCCAGAGGAGGGTGAGCGTCACGCCAGCGGACATCAGGAAGACTTCCTCTGGCGTTTGACCCCCATGGCTTGGAGCTGCTCCTCGAACTGGCGCTTGTCCCCCGCAAGCTTGATGAGCTCCTCCACTTCCTCAGCGGACAGGCCATCGTACATCGTAGCATCTTCATCCTCTTCCTGTCCTGCTGGCTGTCGCAGGTGTCGTTGCCTCCTGTGGAGTAGACGGTGGGGTCGACTCCTTGAGCAGCTGTTGGTACTTCGCGAAAAGAAGGTTCTGCAGGAAATCCTTGACATCAGCATTCGCATCCAGAACTTCCTGCGAGAGGGTGGGGCATGGCACCGACTCCGCCGCAACGGGCATGGTCCTGCGCAGCTCCACCTCGAGGGCGTCAACCTCACGTTGCATGGCACTCTCCCTCTCGACCATCTCAGCAAGGGCGGCCTGGGCCTTTGTGATGAATTCGTGCTGAGCCACCACCGCAGCCTTGGCCTTCTCAAGCTTCTTTTGTGCTGACTGGAGTCGAAAGGCGGCGTTGGTGTGTTGCTGGAGAGGCGGTTTGCTGCTGCGCTGGGCAGCTCGAGCCTCACGCAACTGATCTTGCAAACACTTCTTCGCGGGGTCAGACTCATCGACTTGCTCCAACTGCTTGAGGGCATTTTCCAAGGATTCAATTCTGCTTGCATGCATATCATCAGGAGCATCTGAGCGAGAAGCAGACTGACCGTGCGCAGCGCCACCTGTTGCTGCTGAGTCCTGGCGTACCCCCGCTGCTTTGAGCCGCTGGTCAAGCTTCTTGTCCAGGGCTTGTGTGATCTGTCTGACGAGGTCAGGAGGTGGTCCCGCCGCCCATCGTCCACTCGGTCCCCTCTGGGTATTGCTGGGCGACGGCTTCTCCCACTCCTTGGCATTCTTCTTTGCTGCCTGCACCACACGATGAGGGGCAGCAGCACCACATATGCACTTGATACGGCAGGCCCAATTCGCTGTGCGGGTGCACTGCGAGCAGGCCAATGGAGGCTGACGAGGGCCTCTGAGCACGGAACCATCGCCAGACATACTGCGGGTGTCGCGGCGATAGCTGAAGACTGAAAGCTTTGGCCCGCCGACGCAGGCCGTTCTGAAGTTGGCGTCGGCAAGCTCAGAAATCTCTGAGCCAGAACGGCTGGAGGAGGAGGAGGAGGAGGAGGAGGAGGAGGAGGAGGAGGAGGAGGAGGAGGAGGAGGAGGGAGGAGGAGGAGGAGGAGGAGGAGGAGGAGGAGGAGGAGGAGGAGGAGGAGGAGGAGGAGGAGAGGCAAGGATGCAAGGGTACCCTGAGGGGTGGTTGCCCATCACTGCTGTGCGGGTGGACCGCCGCCGTTCCGCGCACCGCGCCCCCGTCGTGCGCGACGCGCGGCGCTCTTCCCGCCCCCGCGCCGCCCTTTTGAGGAGAGGAGCAGCGCTCTGGCCTTCCGCCCGCCTCCTCCGCCCCGCGGTTCCTCTCCCTCCTCCTCCCCCCCTCCTCCTCCCCCCTCCTCCTCCCCCGCTTCCTCCGCCCTCCTGTTCCTCTCCCCTCCTCCTCCCCCTCTCCCCTCCTCCTCCTCTCCCCTCCTCCTCCCCCGCTCCCTCCGCCTCCCGGCTTCCTCTCCCCGCCTCCTCCCCCTCCTTCCCCCCCTCCGGGGTACCCCCCCCCGTCGTCAGGCGTCCTTGCCCGCGCTCGGTCTTTCAACCCCCCGTTCCTCCTGGCATCTGGCGGGGGCGGCGGGGCCGGACAGGTGGTGTGCAGCCATTAGACTGCTATTTCGTCGACTCTGGCCCAGACCGCGACACGCGATGCGATCACCCTCTCCGCCCCCGTGGGTGACCCACTGGATCGAGCCGTCGGACAGGACAGGGCAGGAAAAGGACGCACTTCGGATCAACGGCGCATCGGCAGGTGATTCGGCAGCTCGTTATGTACATTTGCGGTGGCGTGCAAGAGTATGCATATGAACAGCTGCGCAGTGCCTCGGAGAGAGGCCGTTGTAATATTTGTGCCAACGAAGTGCGAGGGAAAGCTGCGCGGCTTTCTGGAGGAGGCGGAGGGAAGGAGGGAGGGAGGGAGAGAGGACGGGAGGGAGGGAAGGGCCCCGGGAAATTGACGGTGCTTGCTCAAACCCTACGGGGTATGGCAGGTCCTTCTCGTGGCGACGTCGACGTCGGCTGCTGACACCGCGCAGATTGCTCAACTCTGAACGATCGCGGCCCTCCGAAGGCGCAGACCTTTCAGTGTTGGACGAATGGCCGCTGGTGGCGATCAACCTTGAACGCCCGCGGCGCGGCCGTCGCCGAGTCGACGCGACACGAACGTGCCGTTGTGAGAGCGAGGGTCGGCCCAGAGAGCCAGGATGCCCGCGCACACCCCCTGGGGGGCAGAGCCCTCACCGTAAGTTGAGAGAGAGAGAGAGGAAACAAACAAGATTAATAGCCCTCACCGTTAGTCGATCGATCGAGAGAGAGAGAGAAAGAGAAACAAACAAAAACAACAAAACATGAGAGTGAGGCCTGCGCACAACCTGGCAAGAGAGTGAATGGAGAATGAGACGTGTGCCAATGGGGAAATGCAGCCCGGACTGCCCCAGGCGCAGAGGCGGACACTGCGACATCTTCCACACCCGCCGGACCCCCGACGTCATGATTTTGTTCATCACGTGGACGCCTAGAGGTCTCGACCCATTGCCCAGGACCAGCTTTTCCTCGTGAGCGTTTGCATTTTCGGCGTTTCGACAGTGGGCGGAAGGAGGGGGAGGGGTCTGGCTCTCTGGCTCCGGACCTCTGCTCAGTGCGACTGTTTGCACAAGCGCGTCCTATGGGGGAGCCGCCACCTGCCTGAGACAGGCGCCCAAAAACCGCCCAAGATTTACTCCAGGGGGGGGGGGCGAGGGCCCGCGCCGATCGGCAAAACGAGGAATCAGAAAACGATCACCTTTTCATCCCCGAACGTTATTTGAGAGTCCTGGGGCCCGCCAGCGGCTCCCAGAGGCCGAAAAAATAGCCAGACGCCTCCCGTCGTGGTTGCTGTTGCGACGCGATGGGGTCTGGGCTGCACGCCCGCGGAGCGATCGTCGCCGCGTCGACGCGACACGAACCTGCCCGCAATCGTTTCGCTCCTGCGAGCGTGAGGGGCATCGCTAGTGTTGTGGATGCCATGACAATGGGCACTCGAACAATCCTATAACTGAATCAAGGATGTACTCAAATATGTTTCTTATAGAAAACAGACACCAAAAACATGTGCTTGACATGTTTCAGACATGTGTGTTACATGCTTAAGACATTTTGAAACATTTCTAGACATCTTGACATTATTGGGCAGCATGCTTCCTCTCACAACGTCAGAGGGGGGAGACGTATGGATCCACTCCCACAACGTCAGAGGGGGGACCGGCCCAAGAGGGGGGGGCACGGCCCGGGGAAGACTCGCCGCGGACAGCTCGGCGCTGGGCCCACGACCGCGAACCCGCACGGCCCTCGGCGGGGTGGGCTGAAGGCCCCCCCGGTCGGCGACGAGTGGGCGATTTGTTCGGGGGCGCGCAGACTGAATGGGGCCCTGGGACACACAAATAGATACACACACAAATAACAGGACTCCCTTTATTTTCCTACATTTTCTTGGTTTTTGTCTGCTCCCCCATTTCCCATATTTTCCCATACCTTCAGGGGGATCCACGATTAAGTGTGTCTGTGTGTGTGCGCTTTTTTTCCCTCCTGCGGTCGCCAAATCCATGGATCGGGGGGGGGGGGGGTCCTGCCCAAAAGTGCAGCCGGTGCCGCCCCGCTCGGCGGCGGGAAGCTTCGATTGCCCACGGACGCGGGGCCCGTCGCCAGTCCCCGCCCCCTCGATCCGTGCTTGCGATCGCCTGCCTGTCGGCGACGAGCGGGCGATTCGGGGTCGACGCGTCCACCCTTTGATTATGTCGGGCGTGTCCCCCCTACAGGGGGATTTCGACGAAAAACGAAAAAAAATACCCCAACAATGCCCCAAAAAGATAAAAAATACTCAAAACATAGTCCCCAGACTATGTTTGGAGTATTTCTTGATCATTTTTACGGTATTCTCTATGCTTCGTCGAAAATCCCGCTGTCTGACTATTTTTGGAATGTTTCTGGATCATTTCTGGTGTATCTTCTATTCTTCGCCGAAAATCCCTTTGTAGGGGGACAGGCCCGACTTAACCCCTTGAGCCCATCACCCCCCCCAGCGCTGCCCCGGACGAGCGCCTGCCGCACTGGAAGGCGCCGCTCAGCAGCTCCGGCCGCGGCCCGCCCGCGCCCGCGACCGCGCCGCGCACGGCGACGAGCCGGCCCAGGGCCGCGGAGCGCGCGGCCCCCCACGGCACCGACGAGGAGGGACGGCGGACGGCGACGAAGGCCACGACGACGAACGCCGCCGCCGCCGCCGCCGCCGGCGACGACGGCGGCGGCGGCGGCGGCGGCGGCGACGGGGACGTCGACGGCGGCGGCGACGCCGCGCGCGGCGACGCCGCGCGGCGGCGGCGACGGCGACGTCGACGGCGGCGGCCAGCGGCGGCGACGCCGCGTGCGGAGCCAGACTCTCGGCGCCCAGGCCGCGAAACGCCACGCCGAGCGGGCCGGGGGCGGCCCCCCCGCGGCGGCCGCCGGCCGCCCGCAGGCGCGCCGCGAGCGACGCCAGGGCGGCGTCGAGGGCGGGGCGCAAGGCCGCGAACCTCTCGGGGCGGACGGCAGGGCCTCCAGCGCGGAGTTTTCGTTTTTTTTTTTTTCCCAACCCTCCTTGGTTGGGTATTCGTTTTGAATAAAGCAGTGTGGTCGCGTCCCTTCTCCTCCCGCTTCTTCCTGTCTTGCCTGCGGGGGGCTGCGATCTTGGAAACTGTCGCCACTTTCGAGGCCTGCTGGGGGGCCCAGCACAGTGAGGGCCACGGGCGGACCCAAATTAGACCTCGCCATCCCTGGGGGCTGCGATCTGGAAACTGTCGCCACTTTCGAGGCCTGCTGGGGGGCCCAGCACAGTGAGGGCCACGGGCGGATTCAAATTAGACCTCGCCATCCCTGGGGGGCTGCGATCTGCGAAACTGTCGCCATTTTCGAGGCCTGCTGGGGGGCCCAGCACAGTGAGGGCCACGGGCGGACCCAAATGAGACCTCGCCATCCCTGGGGGGCTGCGATCTGTGAAACTGTCGCCACTTTCGAGGCCTGCTGGGGGGCCCAGCACAGTGACGCCACGGCGGACCAAATTAGACCTCGCCATCCCTGGGGGGCTGCGATCTGTGAAACTGTCGCCACTTTCGAGGCCTGCTGGGGGGCCCAGCACAGTGACGCCACGGGCGGACCCAAATTAGACCTCGCCATCCCTGGGGGGCTGCGATCTGTGAAACTGTCGCCACTTTCGAGGCCTGCTGGGGGCCCAGCACAGTGAGGGCCACGCGCGGATTCAAATTAGACCTCGCCATCCCTGGGGGGCTGCGATCTGTGAAACTGTCGCCATTTTCGAGGCCTGCTGGGGGGCCCAGCACAGTGAGGGCCACGCGCGGATTCAAATTAGACCTCGCCATCCCTGGGGGGCTGCGATCTGCGAAACTGTCGCCATTTTCGAGGCCTGCTGGGGGGCCCAGCACAGTGAGGGCCACGCGCGGATTCAAATTAGACCTCGCCATCCCTGGGGGGCTGCGATCTGCGAAACTGCCGCCATTTTCGAGGCCTGCTGGGGGGCCCAGCACAGTGAGGGCCACGGGCAGATTCAAATGAGACCTCGCCGTCCCTGCGGGGCTGCGATCTGTGAACCTGTCGCCACTTTCGAGGCCTGCTGTGATCCCCGTTTTCGAAGTGGCTAGGAGTGCTCAGGAATTGTAAAATCAGCTTTTATCAAGCCCTTTTCCTGTAGCCAGTGTCCTGCGAGTCTCCCGAATTCCGTCTGCAGACATATGTAACCCTCGCTCCGTCATCGCCCCCTTATAAAGTATCCTAAACTATTTGCGCCCCGCTTTTGCGCAGGGGTTGGGTACGTCGCCAGGGTATTTTTTTTTTCCGTTGGCTCTTGGGGTTGTTCTGGCTATCAGGATGCAGTCGGGCGTGTCCCTCCACAGGAGGGGTATCCAAAAATGTGTTTTTTAAACCGGAAAAAAAAGTCAGGGGACGATTTTTGGATGTTTGGACTATTTGGAAGCATTTTTGTAGTTTTATTTGTTCGCTCAAATCTGCCTGTAGGAGGCCATGCCCGACCTAACCTCATGATGCTTTTCAACAGCCGCGCCTCGCCGAGAGCGTTTTCGGGGGTGCCCGGACCGCCCCGAGCGGCCGCCGGAGGCCGCAGTTAGGGCCCGAACACCGACGAGAGGGGTTCTCCGGTGCACCGCTGCAGCCCAAGCTCCCATGGCAGAGCCTGCCGGGATCGGACTGGGAGCGCAGCAAGTGCAGGCTTCAGCCCAGCCCCGAAGGGTCTTGGGCCGCGGCAGACCTCTCCAGAGCCGCTGCAGGACATCGAGCTGGTGCCTGCCTGATGCTGGCAGGGGGCCCGCGAGCGGCAACTGGGCGGGGCTACCGCAAAGCCTCCGGGCGAGCTTTCTGTGTGGACGCCAGTCCAGACAGTGGCGGCCCTCCACTGCATTTTTCCCAACCCTCCTGCTGGGTTCTCGTTTTGAATAGAGCACTGCTCGCGCGTCTCCTTCCCACGCGCGTCTCCTTCCCACCCCCCCCGTCCCTCTCTTCCCCCCTGCCCTTGACCTCGCCATCCCTGGGGGGCTGCGATCTGTGAAACTGTCGCCACTTTCGAGGGCTGCTGAAGGGCACCACACAGTGGGTACCCACCGCAGACTCAAATTAGACCTCACCGTCCCTGGGGGGCTGCGATCTGTGAAACTGTCGCCACTTTCGAGGGCTGCTGAGGGGCACAGCACAGTGGGTACCCACCGCAGACTCAAATTAGACCTCGCCATCCCTGGGGGGCTGCGATCTGTGAAACTGTCGCCACTTTCGAGGGCTGCTGAAGGGCACAGCACTGTGGGTACCCACAGCGATCTCAAATTAGACGTCGCCATCCCTGGGGGGCTGCGATCTGTGAAACTGTCGCCACTTTCGAGGGCTGCTGAGGGGCACAGCACAGTGGGTACCCACCGCAGACTCAAATTAGACCTCGCCATCCCTGGGGGGCTGCGATCTGTGAAACTGTCGCCACTTTCGAGGGCTACTGAGGGGCACCACACAGTGGGTACCCACCGCAGACTCAAATTAGACCTCGCCATCCCTGGGGGGTTGCGATCTGTGAAACTGTCGCCACGTTCGAGGGCTGCTGGGGGGCACAGCACAGTGGGTACCCACCGCTGACTCAAACTAGACCTCGCCATCCCTGGGGGGCTGCGATCTGTGAAACTGTCGCCACGTTCGAAGGCTACTGAGGAACACGGCACAGTGGGTACCCACCGCAGACTCAAATTAGACCTCACCGTCCCTGGGGGGCTGCGATCTGTGAAACTGTCGCCTCTTTCGAGGGCTGCTGAGGGGCACAGCACAGTGGGTACCCACCGCAGACTCAAATTAGACGCCGCTTTCGTCCTTGTTCTCCTCCTGCAATCACCTTCCCTCTGCTGCTGCCGTGCTGATGGTTCGGTTTCCCGCATGGTTTTCTCCTGCTCTGCGTTCCCGACTCCCCATGCCCTCTTCGAGCCTGTAGCTGTCGCCCCTCGTTCTTGTATGGTTCTCCTGCGCATCATGCCATAGGCGCGTGTCCCAAGTAGCTTACACATCAAGTTGATTGTCCATGCAAGTTTCGGCCAACTCCTCGTTTCCATTGATACAAATGGGTTGGGTACGTCACAATGTAATTATGTTTTTTGTTTAGCCTCGTGGAGGCTTCCTCGTCGCCCCGGCCAGGTCCGCCTCGAAAAGCGAGTCAGGATGGGCCGTCGGGAGCAAGCATGCAGCACGCATCGAGGAGTGTAACCCACCGGCGCCCACCCCCCTTTTCTCCGTCTGCCCCGAGAACCTCTCCTGGATCGCGTCCTGCAGGTCACCGTCCTGACCAACGATCGGCGGTGTGCACCAGGGGGTGGAGGGAGGGGGGGAGGCTTCGTAGAAGGAGGCTGCTTCTTAGAAGGCGCCAGCCCTACATCTATAGAGAAGGCCCGCGCCGTCTAAGAAGGTTTGGTGCTTCTAAGAAGCCTTCCCCCCTCCCCCCATCCCCCTTCTGCGCGTGGATGAAACGAAGCAGACAACAAGACATCCGAAACACTGCCCTTGTTGGGGGAGAAGGGGGCGGAGGAGGGAGGAGAGGGGGGGGAGGAGGGGGAGGAGGGAGAGGAGGGTGAGGAGGAGAACCAGTGCAACCCCAAGAATCATCAACGATGCTGGAATAAACCCTCCCTCCAAGCTCCCTCTTCATAGGCCCCTACAACGGTTCATTTCCACTGAGGGAACAGCCTCGTTGGAAGATAACCGTTTGAAGACCCTGAAGCATGCCAAAACATTGCTCTCGGGATTCCGACGCCACGGATCAGCCTGACTGTTGCGTCTTGACGATCATGAATCGTGCCAGAGCGCCAGTCCTGGGACTTTACACCGCGAGTCAACGCAACTGTTGCACCCTGATAATCATGAACCCTTCCAAAACACAAGTTCTGATACGTTGGTCATCGGAATCAGTGGAACTCCGATATTCTTTTTTACAGAACGAATGTGCGCGGCGCTAACGCGAGAAACAACGTTTAAAAAAGAACCGCCCTCAATCCGTGAAGTTCTTACAATTGGTTAAAGCGAATGCGCGCGGCGCTAAGGCGAGAACCACATGTTGAAAACCATCCGCCTAAACATCCGTGAAACTCTTGCATTTGTTTGGGACGAACGTTCGCGGCTAAGGCGAAAACCACATGTTGGAAACGAAACTCGTGCACCTTGTTGAACAGAATATGCGCGGCGCTGAAGCGAAAACCACATGTTTCAAACCGCCCGCCCTCCAACCGTGAAACTCTTGCATGTGTTAAACGAATGTGCGCGGCGCTGAAGCGAAAACCACATTTTTTTAACTGCCGCCCTCCAACCGTGAAGCTGGCGCAATTTGTTCCCTACCTAGGCTCTGCCTAGAAGGGTTCTTACTCTCTTCGCTTAAAGGGGCCGGGCAGTGCTAACCGCCCCGGGCGGTTCCCACGGTCCCCTGGGACCCAAGCAAAAGCAGCAGCAAAGGCAAGAGCAAACGCGCGGTTCCCCAGTTGCGCTCCGTGGGTGCCAAGCAAAAGCAAAAGCAAAGGCAAAAGTGAAGGCAAAAGCGAAGGCAAAGCAAACACATAGTATAGCATAGCATAGTATAGCATAGCATAGCATAGCGCAGCATAGCATAGCGCAGCATAGCATAGCCTAGCCTAGCCTAG